ACCAAACAAGAATACACAGCACATTTTATTTACAGCTACATTTTTAGGTTTCCTTAACCAAGAAGCAGCAAAGGGCTCCAATGCACATTTAATTATATTATAGAATTACATAGAAAGAAAAAAATTACAGATATTTGACAAATTTTCAGGCGGAGGTATAATACAAATTTTTTGAGATTTAGAAATATTTCTCTTTTTTAAAGACATCTTTGAGATCATAGAAATACTTCTCTCTTTTTTTTTTTGGTCTGGTTTATAGGGCCTGGTAGCAAAACTGTCTGTTGTTCAGAGTCTATAAGTGTAAACATTTTCATTGCAAAGAAACCAATCTTTAGGGGCTGTGTGCTATTCTTCACTGCAGTCCAAAGCATCTCCTAACCAAGGTCTGATGTCTTATCAAAGCAAGGAGAGGGCTGTGTGAAGTCCAGGCTAGAAAAGAATAGAGCCCACTTCCTTGACTGTTGTTGTACTTTAGGAAATATGAAGTAACGCATTAAGCTAGTAAGTGGTTTCTAAAGAAATATCACCAGAATAAAGTTAGCTGTATTGAAAAGTAGTACTCTTAATTCTGCCACAAGCCAGATTCCAGCAAGACTACCTCATTCCAACTCTACTGCAGTTCAAGGAGTAAGTAGAACACTTAGATAATTAACATACCTATAACATCCAGCTGAAACACTGCAGAAGTGCATTGCTCTAGACTAAAAAGGATTACATGGTAAGATCCCAGATCAAACAAACAAGTCAAAAAAGAAATGTAGTGCTAAACTAGTTTAAGAAAAGAAGACTACAGATGTGTCTTAATAAAACTCTAATTAGCATTGTTTTGTATTGCAAACAGGTACTATTAAATGCAGTACTATTAAAGGCTTCTTCCAGTCTCTTTTTTTGCTAGTCCTGGGGCCTGGGCACTGTCCCTGAGCTTCTTTTTGCTCAAGACTAGCACTCTACCACTTGAGCCACAGTGCCACTTCCAGCCTTTTCTGTGTATGTGGTATTGAGGAATCAAACCCAGGGCTTCATGAATGCTAGGCACTCTACCACAAAGCCAGTCTCAATGTGGTTTGTCTGATCTTTACTGAGACTTACTATAATTATGTTTTTCAGTAAGAGATATGTTTTGCATTTGTAAATGTTTACAGTTGCCACAAGAGAAGTTGAGGAATGGTGAATTCTGAGATGATACCGACAGGTTTTGGCATAAAAGAGGGAGGTGCTACGCAGATGGCTCAAGCCTGCCTATAATCCTAGCTACTCAGAAGGCTGAAATCTGAGGATCATGACTCAAAGCCAGCCAAGACAGTCCATGAGACTCTCATCTCCAATTTACCACCAGGAAGCCGGAAGTGGAAATGTGGCTCAAGTGGCAGAGTTCCAACTTTGAGCAGAAAAAGCCAAGCAAGAGCATAAGGCCATAAGTTCAAGCCCCAATACTGCTTGGAGGGAGATCCATTATCTTTTAAGAGAAAATCTGTTATGGTGTCTCCAACCAACTTTATGTCCTGATGGCTTTTCTTGCTCCTATACACTTAATATCACCTGTTTCAGTATTTTCAGCATGAACCATCTGTGGTTAAGGCTGAGAGGTGTGTCCACATCCATTCAGTCTCTGCACACACAAAGGGACACACTATTGGGCTGGCTCATGCCTACTGAGAAATACTGTGTCATGCTTCTGATGACATTACATAAATGATATGTTAAGTTTTTATGGAATCCCAAACACACAAAAGTACATCAGCTTCTATGGAAATATTATTGATAATGGCAAACAAAAAAGGTGTGGGCTTTTCAATTTCATGCATCCAACTAAACCACTTTGAACCAATTAAGATGCATATTTACATATTTGAAGTTGAGAGCAACCCAGGAATAGAAATTAATTCAAACATGAACTTCAAGGGTGTCTTCTAGAACATGCTTCTTTTCCTTGAAAAGGAAACAGAAGAATCTTGCATTACATCCTTTCTCTACTACATTCCCATGTGAGTGAGAGTTGTGAATGGCACCCAGATGGTACTCAGGAAGAGCTGACTTTAAATCGTGAGAACCAAGCTCCTACTGCCCAATGCTTTCAGAGGAAGTATATAATTTAAAAAACTGACATTTACCAAAACTTTGTGTCAAATAAATTCTTAAAATTTAGGAATGATTTTTATTCAAATAAATAAACTAGGCAGTTTTAAAAACTAGATCTTTCAAACACAGATTTGGGTTATCCATAATATATGGATGTCACCCTTAGAGATGGTAGCAGTGTAACTATGACATAACAAAATAACAGCTGGAATAGTACTCATTAAACAAAACAAAGTGATCATACCAGACTTAAGCTTGAGTTAATTCTCACACTCATATGTAACTCCATTTTGAGTTTTAAGTAAATGCAAATGATCTTTAAAAGGTTTTAGACATTAGAATGCGAACTCCGTAAACTTAAGCTCATAACTTTGAAATCTCGCAAATAATATACTTAAATATACGATCTTGCATGCTACTGTTGATTTTCAATCTCTTTTTAAGTGTCACAAGAACTTTCATTTTCTAGAATAGTACACATTCAGATTGTCTCTGATCTTGTCTAGAAAAATAGAATTGCTTAAAAATTTATACCAATTTGCCTTTGCATTTTTATAAATATTGTCATACAATTGTGAAATATCAGAATGTGTAATAGAATTCATTTTAAATTAATCCATGTAGCCAAAATACTTAATATCTAAAATACCTAGCAAAAAGTTTATCACTGAATAAATGAAACATTCGTTGTTTCATTAAATGATATGTTCTGTCTTTATTTGTGTTTTAGGTTGATGGATTCAATCACAGAATATTGAAGATTAGCTCTTGTAATTATCTGTAGAGTAGGGTCATCTCCATTTCATTTCTGTGCAGGAAGAAATACAGCCTAGTTTTAGATCCTACGTTTGGTTTGTGGCATTAGCTGTCATGCAATCAGGATAGATAAGGATTGCTGCCTAAAGTAATATAACAAGGCTTACTTTAAAACATTGATATTTTAAATTGGTTTAGTAAACAGGTATGCCAATCAGTGAAAGTAAAAATGAGCTTTGAAGCAAGAAACTTCTCTGGAAAATGCTCTGATTAGTAAGCCTCACTGACATAGCCTAACATTGACACCTTTGAAGTGGTGGGACTAAAAACTGTGTTCAGAACTACTGCAGTATTCAAAGAGTCAAAAATGTTTATTTCAAAATTTGTTTCTTTTTTAAAGGAATTAATTCCCAAAATAGTTTTTAATATAAATATTATCCTTTTCTTTTTTTAAAAAAAGCTACTTTTCTTACAAAAGAACAAGAAAAAAATCACTCACTTTCCTCACCTGCACACTCTGCCCCACCAATGAGTCTTTGATGCCAATGAGGCCAGCAATAAATTTAGTGACCAATTTATAACACAAGCAACTTAAAAACAAACCTCCTATATTTTACATTACTTTGTCTTTTAAAAATAAATTTACCAGCCTGGCACCTGTGGCTCACACCTGTAATCCTAGCTACTCAGGAGGCTGAGATCTGAGGATAGCTGTTCAAAGCCAGCTCCAGCAGAAGAGCCCATAAGACTCTTATCTCCAATTAACCAGTTAAAAAGCCAAAAGTAGAGTTGTGGCTCAGGTGGTAGAGTGACAGCCTTGAGTGGAAAGAGCTGAGGGCCCTGAGTTCCAGCCCCAGTACCAGCATACATATGCCAAAATTACCTGATATAAGCCAATCAATCCCATTTAGTTGACTGAAGTATAAAGTGTAGAACTCCTCAGGTTCTCACTGCATTAAGACAATCAAATTGGGTTAAATGTCTTGATCATATTCAGCCAGCCTTCTGTCATCAGAGTCAAACATTCTCCTTCAAACTGAGAAACTACATGGATTCAGTCTTTTGGTTGGGTTCAATAAGTTCAAGTATTCCTCACTAGATGAACTAAATACTCTCCCTCCCCTTAGAACAATCATTTAAGGTCAAGTATGTGAGTGAAATAAATAAAGGCAATAATAGCTAAATATATAATTCTAGTATTTATATTGTTAGAATCAAAGTAAAAGTATAGAAACACATACACAACATAAGCAGTCATTTATCTTCATGTAAGACAATAATTTTGATAATCAGAATACTTGGATTGAATTACCTTCTTTCCTGCTCTTTCTTTTTCCAGAAAGACAAGAAAATCTAAAGCATTCAAAATGCTGACTAAGCAAGCAGGAGTAGAAACTGAATAAAATATGAATACTGATTCTTTTGTTGTCCAGTCTCACCAACAAGAGGCCTATTTTCGGGGCATGACAAAGGCAAACTGCATATCACCAGTGTGGAGCTCAGTTGTGAACCCAGGGGAAATGCTAGAAGTATGTTTTTCATAGAAAAAAATGCCAAGGAAGACAAGACAGCAGTGTTAAAGCAGTTTTCCTTAATGATTAGCTTAAGTAATCACCAAACACCTATCAATATGCACTTTGAGAAGAAATCCATCCCTTAAGAAGATCCATCATCTTTCTTAAAATATAAAAACAACAATTTGAGAAAATGCTAGAAATAGGAGGAGACAAATAATTAAATGTATGAAGCATATTTCCATAACTAAAAGAAGGAAATATTCTCAAGTGAAAAAAATGTATACAGCATCAACAGATGACAGCAGATCTGAAATCAAAACCAGAACTTTTTGAATAGCCTAGGAAAAAAGAGATGACAGCAATCTGAAAAGGAAACCTGCCATGGTACTGATGTTAGAGCTGTCTACATACTGAAAATTAGTTCCCATACTTTCAACAGAACCACTGGCTACACTAAGTGTGCACCAACTTATCACAATCATCATCATAAAGAGAAAACTACCGCTTGCAGGGTAGGAGATTCCTGGGAAGAATTGCCACTAGATTTGTAACTTTTATTTAAACCTCTCAATTTATCCATGCTTCTAATGCAGAGGGAAAGAAATTTTGGAACGGGAAACTAAATTTGAAGTTTCTCTTTTCTAAAAGTTAAAAAAAAAGACAACAAAACCCCGAATAATAATTCTAATTAATAGAGAAGCACAAGAACATGCCAAGAATTCATCCTATTAGTAGATATAGATGAGTAGTAATGAGGATTGCTTATCTAAACAAGGTGTTTGACAAAAGCACACCTTCAGTCAAGTTTTCCATTCTGAAGACTACTTCTGGCTTTCTCTTGTCTGATGAGAGAGATGACTTTGATGCACCCTTTTGAAATTTTGATCATCCACATGACATTCATCACATCCAAAACAAAACAACTACAGATCCAGGAACACTGGACAAAGAAGCCAAGTCTTTTGTAGGGTTCTGTTCCACACACAGAATATATGAAGATATAAAATGGAGGTATCACGATGATCCGCACGATGAAGAACACTATGGTCATGAGTATCCCATTGAGGACATTCGCTTTGGAAAACTTAGGGTACTTCAGGACTTCAAAGAACCACCTGAAAAGAGAATGAATAAAATATCACATCCATCGGGAAACTCTGGAAGTTAATCGGCTTTGTGATTGTACACAAGTCAGAGAACATCCCTTTCCAATTCATATGAAGATCACTAGGTTGCTTGTGGCTCATGCCTGTAATACATGCCACTCAGGGAGCTGAGATCTGAGGATCACAGGTCAAAGCCAGTCTAGTTAGGGAATTCTGTGACTCTCATGTCCATTTAATCAGCAAAAAACTGGAAGGGGAGGTAAGGCTTAAATGGCAGAGTGCCATCCTTGAGCACAAAAGCACAAAAAGCACTCAGGCCATGAATTCATGTTCCAGTACCAACTGACACACATGTACACATGGATGTACACACACACACACACACACACACACACACACACAGATACACCGTATACTGGCCAACAGCATGTTGGGCCCACAAGCCCAACTTTTCTGACTTGACCTCAAGCAACAGTAAAAATGTCCTGCTTAATTTCAGTGGCCACAAATCATATAAGGCTACAAAAACATTTGAAACATTCAAAGTCTGCCTGAGGAATTGGTTTTACATTTTTTCTTAGGGCTGGGAATATGGCTTAGTGGTAGAGTGCTTGCCTAGCCTGCATGAAGCCCAGGGTTGCATTCCTCAGTATCCCATATACAGAAAAAGCCAGAAGTAGTGCTGTGGCTCAAGTGGTAGAGCGCTAGCCTTGAACACAGAGAACAGGCTCAGGGCCAGTGCCCAGGCACTATGTTCAAACCTCAGGACTGGCAAAAAAATATATATACATTTTTGCTCATTTTAATCGACTAAAACATAGGTTTGGGATCCCTAATCACAAAAATCTCAATCTTGAGATGTTCTAAACATCTAAAACATTTTTTTGAGCACCAACATGATGCCGCAAATGGAAAACTCCTCAGTTGACTTCCTCTGACACGTCACAATCAAAATTCTATTGGCTGTGTGTATAAAGTATTTATGAAACACAAATGAATTTCATATATAGATGTTTCACATACATTTCATACATATCCTCTTCATCTCATTATGCAATATGTAAATGTTCTAAAATCCTTAAAAAATAAACATCTGAAATCTACAATGCCTCTGGCCCTGAGCATTTCAGATTAAGGGATATTTGAACTGCACATGGCTTGTGGGTACTCCATTGGACAATGGTGATTTGCAGGCAGATAAAACCACCCGGGAAAGAGGAGATGACCAAGAACACTGACATTAGAAATGGAGATGTGGTAAGCAATATTGAGTAGTCTTCTGGAACCGTCCAGAAGACTCTGGCTGGGAGATGTAGGTCATTGATATAACACCTGCTGACCATGCGCCAGGCCTGAGTTTAAGCCCCACCTCTGGGACAACTGAGCCATGTGCTGACCAAGCAAATGCAAGAACAGCAATGGCACATGATTTTCTGAGAGAAAAAAATTCAACTGTAATATGAGGCAGTAGCTAGTATTAAGCGTGCTCTTTTTATATACAGAACACAACTGAAGACAGGAATATTAAATTATGTGCCTGGTCCAAGTAGTAATAGCAAGGAAGGAGCAAAGCTAACCTAAAACTTGAGTTTACTTGATTCCAAAACTTAGTCATAGCCCAGTGCACCAAGAAGAATAAGACCTGACAGGGAAAAACTGAACCAGGCCGAAGCATCACTCAGCAATGCTTAAGGAACCATCTCTTATGAAAAAAGCGGCGGGGGTGGGGGGGGGGAGGGAAGTGAGGGAGTAGTGAGGAAATACAAAGAGAACTAGCTGTAGTATCCATTGGGAAAGTCAATAAAGTTTGGCAATAGTGTGGCCAATACAACCAAGTCCACAGATGCAGCAGGCGCCAAAGAAAGTTCATTGGATTTTGCAACTGGAAGCCATTGATATATATTTTTTTTCTTTTTGTCGGTGGTGGGGCTTGACCTCAGGGCCTGGGCGCTGTCCCTTAGCTCTTCAGCTCAAGGCAAGCACTCTACTGCTTGAGCCACAGTGCTACTTCCCGTTTTCTAGTGCTTTATTGGAGATAAGAGTCTCAGGGACTTTCCTTCCCAGGCTTGCTTTGAACTGTGATGCTCAGATCTCAGCCTCCTGAGTAGCTAGGATAACAGCCGTGAGCCACTAGCACCCAACTTCATTGATACATTTAATTTAAAAAACAACGCACATTCCCGCCAAATGGCAAAGGAAGAAACTTAATTGCAGTGGTTTACCCACAAAGAAGATATGACAGCGTACAGCAATCAAGTGTAAACTATGTATTTCCAAGGTTTCTTAGGCTGTGGTTTAATCAATACATACCAAGTTTACCACTTGCTGAAGATGTACTGAGTGATGAGCACTGTGCCTGGGGCTATGGGGCTTTACGTATCTAATCCTATCGAATCTTCTCCACAAACTAGGAGAGGGGCGTGGGAGGCTGGGTCATCATCCCTACTTTGTAGGCAAGAAGACAGGCTTAGAGAAGATAAATCATCTTCCTTTCATAAGCAGTGACAAAGGGAGAGCCTGATTTGAATCCAGGTCTTTCAGCTTCAAAGACCACACACTTTCCCTCTGTTTCCTCTTTATCCTTAAGGCTTGCAAAAATTACCTTGGCCTAGAGCCCAAGGAATTGATTATCTTCCAAACATATGAAAAACTGGCAAATGAGACAAGATTAGGTAATAGTTGAAGAAGCAAAGATTGTACAACATATCTGCAATTCCTTCTTTCCTCCTGGGGTGGAAAGATCAACCTCTCACCATCCCATTGCTTAAAAAGACCTGTAAATATACTAATACTAGACATCCTAATAAAGAGGCTGAAAGTATTTATAGAGGAAGAGACTTCTCTACTGAGTCTGAGGAGCTTATAGTAAGGGATTCAAGAGGCATGAATTTCTGGGCAATGACTGGGTGAGCAATAGCACACAAGTGAAGCAACTATTTGAAAGCAGAACTCCTCTATATCAGCAATATAAACTGCATGACTTAAAGAGCCCTCACAGATAATCTTGTTCCAAAGTATGTCCAGTGCACAAAGGATGCTAGGAAGTTAATGCCCTAAACATTTCCCTCCTTTGCTTGTGCCCTGAGATTGCAGGTAGCATTGAAATCATTCACAAGGCTTCATGCAGGGTAGGCTCTGTCACTCAAATGTTTGCTTTGAGACTCACCTTCTGAGTTATCCCTGCACAAAATATCCTTCAGGTCTTGTGATTTTGAAGGATAGATAGGTAAAATTCATTCATAAGATCTGGGAAAAATGAAAGATATGAAAACTAAAGGAGGCAAGACAAGAAAGACCAGAGGTACAACAGACAGTAAAAACCTAACACTGATTTTGAGTAGTAAGACACAAGTTTGAAAACCAAGGGAGCAACATTGACAGAGAACTGCCAAGGTCAGTGAGAAAGCTGTCAACAGGACAAGGTTCTTAATAAGAACATAAGTACTAAACATTAAGTGGTAGAGAAGTGGAACTGTAACTCAAATGGTAAGGCACTAGCTTTGAACACAGAAACTCAGGAACAACACCCAGGCCCTGTGTTCAAGCTCCAGAAGCAGCACAATGCCAGGTGCTTGTGGCTCACACCTATAATCCTAGCTATTCAGGAAGTTAAGATCTGAGGATCCAGGTTCCAAACCAGCCCAGGCTAGAAAGTCCACGAGACTCTTATCTCAAATTAACCACCAGAAAACTGGGAGTGGTGCTGTGGCCCAAAGTAGTAGAGCACTAGCCTTGAGTGGAAAGAGCTCGTGGACAGCACCAGGCCCTGATCAAGCCCTACAATCAGCCAAAACAATTGTTTTAAGACCAGGTAAGAGTGATAAAGGTAAGAAATAGACTCTTTCAAGATCTAGGGAATGTACTATGCTTCAGTGCTTTTTCCTAAGGAAGAGAAAATGGAAAAGAAAAACCCATCCCAGTAGAGGAAGAATCATTAGCCACTACCTTACCACTTCCCCCCAGTTAACCATCCAGATAAGATATGATAAAGAGTTCTCCATAAACAGGGCACCAGTGGCTCACGCCTATAATCCTAGCTACTCAGGAGGTTGAGATCTGAGGATTGAGGTTCAAAGCCAGCCAGGGCAGGAAAGTCCATGAGAGTCTTATCTCCAATAAACCACCAGAAAACCGGAAGTGGTGCTGTGGTTCAAGAGGTAGAGTGCTTGCCTTGAACTGAAGAGCGCAGGGACAGTGCCCAAGCCCAGAGTTCAAGCCCCACGACCGACTCAAAAAAAAAAAAAAAAGAGTCCTCCACTTCTAGGTGATTCCTGTATTATCTATTCATGAGAAAAGCATCAAACACACACACAGACTGCAGGATGTACTGGGAGAAAGCTGGCCCCTACTCCTTGACCAGGAGTCAAGGTCAAGAAACACAATGACAGGGTAAGAAACTGTTACAGAACATTAGAGGCCAGGAAGACATGGCCCCAGACTGAGGAGATAAAGCAGAAGGACTGGCTGGGTTATATCCTGTAACAGAAGCCACTGAAGAGAAAACCAAGCCAAAAGTTTTCTTGGTAACAATGTATCAGGTCTGTTTTCTTAGTTTTAGAAATGCTTGATCCATGGTAAATAAGGTAACAACAGAGGAATCTGGGTGAAGGGTAAACTGGAGTTCTGAACAACTTTGCAACTTTTCTATAAATCTAAAATAAAAACAAGGGCCCCAAATGACTTTATACTATAATAAACAAAAAAACCTGAAATCAAGGATAAATAAGTGGATGGTCAAGGAGAAGGGTTCATAAATAAATGGGTGTGCTCAAGAATGAAAACAAGTAGGATTATTAAAATCTTCACACTTCCCAAAGCAATCTACATGTACAATGTAATTCATTCATTCTCTATGACACACTTGCTGGTCACTAGTTGCTTCTGGAAAACTTAAAGTTATTTGGAAGAATGAAGTCAGGAGGATTGCAGTCAAAGGTAGCCCAGGCAGAAAAGTTTTTTTTTTTTTTGGGGGGGGGGGGTCCCCGTCATGGGGTCTGAACTCTGGGTTTGGGTGCTGTCCCTTAGCTCTTCAGCTCAAGGCTAGCTCTCTACCACTTGAGCCACAGTACTACTTCTGGCTTTTTTCTTTTTGCTTATGTGGTGCTGAGGAATCGAACCCAGGGCCTCATGCATGCAAGGCAAGCGCTCTACCACTGAGCCACCTTCCCAGCCCAAGGCAGAAAAGTTTTGAGACTGGCCTCCACTTCTCAACCTTTATCTAAGCACAGTGGGACATTCCTTTCACCACAAGCTATATGGGAGACTGAAATGATCACACACAGTTCCAGGCCAGAGAGCCCATGAAAACTGCAGCTCTACAGAGAGAAGCTAGATGTGGCAGGATGCAACTTATGATCCTATAAATGGAGAGCCCCAAGTAACCCTAGCTACTCAGGAGGCTGAGATCTGACAATCCAACTCCAAGCAATCTACAATTAACTACCAAAAAAGCTGGAAGTAGAGCTGTGGCTCAATTTGTAGAGTGCTATCCTAGAACAAAAAAAAAAAGCTCAGGGACAGTGCCCTGCCCTGGAGTTTAAGCCCAAGAACTTGCAACAACAAGAAATAGTAAAAGAAAAAGAAAATACATAAATGATCAATGAGTATATGAAAAGAGGCTTAACACCATGAATCAAAGAAACACAAATATTAAAGTTACAATGAAGTATTACCTCACACCCATTAATATTGTCAATGATTTAAAAAAAGGGAGGGGGTAGAAAAATAACACATACTGATGAATCTATGGAGGAATTAGAATCCTGTGCCTTGTTGGAAGGAATGTAAACAGATAATCTAAAAAATAAGCATGGAGGCTCCTCAAAATGATCAAGGAAAGCCTATGACATGCTCTAATATGATGAGTCTTCATGATGTTATGCTGAACTCAGTATGTCAGTCACAAAAAAAACAAATATTGTACGACTCTAGTCATAGACAGTTTCTACTCTTTGAGGAGGGGGAATAAGAATTTAGTGGAAGGGCAGGGAACATGGCTCAGTGGAAGAGTGCTTGCCTTGCAGGCATGAGGCGCTGGGTTCGATTCCTTAGAAAAAGCTGGAAGTAGTGCTGTGGCTCAAGTGGTAAAGCGCCAGCCTTGAGCTGAAGAGCTGAGGGACAGTGTCCAGTTCCCACAACCGACCGACAAAAAAAAAAAAAAAAGAATTTAGTGGATACAGTTTCCATCCAGCAAAATAAAGTTGTAGCTTCCTTTCGGTTGTACAAACAGTGTGGAGGATAGGATCAGATCTGTAGTCTTCAAAATGGTTCAAATGGCTTAAAAATCTCTGATAACTATTAACATTATGTGTGTGTGTTGTATATTTGCAATAAAAAAGTAGTCTGTGAAATAGAAAAGATTCATAAATGGACCAAGATAATGTTGGTATCAAAATTTGGAGACAGAAGGAAATGATGAGTTTCAGCAAAAGAACTGGACCTGAGAGGAGATAGACTAGGGCTTTGTCTGTTTTCTCCACAAATCACTGCAGTGAACTGTAAGGTTAAGCGTGTAGCGCCATTGTGGAAGTGTACCACCCCCACTGACCAGCAGGGACAGCTGAAATACACTCCTTGAACCTTTTCAAGGCTTGTTTTCCTCATCTATACTACCATGACAGTATTTCATTCATACCAACAGGGTCTCATGTTTGATACTGTGGCTCCAGCAATTGGGGGCCGGGAGGAGGCGGGGAGATGTCCCCAACTAAAAAAGTAAACAGCAAACTTTAATTGATCGATTGATCAGAATAACTTACCGCTGATTCACAAAAGGGCTGGAAAGTTCTGCAAGTAGGCGAAAATTGGCAATGAACGCCAGCATTCCTTGGGTCTGTATGGTAAATGTAAAACATGGTGTCAAGGCCAACATTCTTACTGAAATGTTCACATACTTGAGAAATAATTCATATCTCCTAGACCTACTGTAATAATCAATATGAACACATCCTACGCATTACTGCTAAAGCAATTTTCTTCTTTATGAGATTTTACAAATATGCTGAGCATTATAGAGCATTTTAAAGACATACTTGCTGAAAGTGGTGCTGTGGCTCAAGTGGTAGAGCGCCAGCCTTGAGCAAAAAGAGGCTCAGGTTCAAGCCCCAGGACCAGCAAGGAAAAAAAAAAGACACACTCATGTTCATTTTGCATATGCAATGTGAACGTGAAAGAACAGGTTTCAATTCGCTGACTCAGGCTTGATTAATGAACTCTATAATGAACCATTAGTGATGGCATTCTCAAATTACTACAGAAAGAATGATCAAGTGCTAGTGTGAATCTCAAAGTTAAAGAATTTTAAAGTAGTTAAACACCCAACAGGATCCCATTTTTTAAAATCCATTTGTCCAACATATTATTAGTTCTTCATCCTTTTCCTCCCAAAATGGAAATAAGGAAATAAAGACCAGTTGATGGACAGAGACTGACACCTGACTAGGGTTTATTGTTGTTGTTTGTTTCCTTCCCTGCTGGCATCTCCAGACTTAGGGTCAGGAACCCTTCCCTCTTAGGGTTACAGCTTTGGGTGATCTATGTCCAACATTCAGCAGCTCAGTGTGCTGTTACGGCTCTGAGCTGCTCCTTAGAGCGGGAACTGGGAACTCTAGTTGGCTTTCAGGAATTCCTCCAGCAGCCATGACTAGCAGCGTGTCCAGTCTCAGTTCTCTACCACCTCTCACTCTATCCCCTCTCTTGGTCTATTATTCCTAGTCTCTGCTTTCCAAGTCCCATCTCTTACTCCTCCCATCTCTGAAACTACCCTGTTCTTCACCCAGCTAGCTCAGTCCATTCTCCCCAGGATAAGTGATTATTTGGCTGAGGCTTTATTGGGGCCCATGCCTCAGCACAGCACCAGGTCTCCCTGACTGCTGCCCTGACGAGGAGCCGGCTGCTTACCTAGCTGGCCAGTCATACAACATGCACACTAGCTGCCATGCGTGGGGGAAGGCCTCCCTTACCTGAAGTTCTAAGCCAAAACTGAGCAAGATGTTGCAGGAGCTTTGTTCTGTGTGGAATCGTGGGTTGGGGAGGGGTATTAGATCAGATATTCCATATTAAACAGGAAATGCTGAAGCACATTCAAAAATCACACACACACACACACACACACACACACCACTTAATATTATTGCTATGACCAATCCCTCAATTCATAATGACTTGTAAATTATATATTTATGCTCTAGGTAGATTTCTTTCTCTAAAAGCTACAGAAATATCAATAAGCTTAATTCCTAAGAATTACTTCTGTCAATCTTTGATTATTAGTATGTAAGAAGGTAAAAGAAAATCAGTAGGAAAAAAAGATTGTTACACATATTATTTGAGGTTTTAAGATACTTTATTGGGTATTATTAAGCATATTACTTAAGGTTTTAAGACTTTTTATTGGATAAATAATGAATTACTTAATATAAGCTTAGTGGAAAACAGAAATCTCCTAGATCATTTTTTTTTTGCCAGTCTTGGGGCTTGAACACAAGGCTTGGGTGCTGTCTGTGAGCTTCTTTTGCTCAAAGCTAGCACTCTTCCATTTGAGCCACAGCAACTCTTCAAGCTTTTTCTGAGTAATTTATTGGAAATAAGAGTTACAAGGACTTTCCTGCCCAAGTTGGCTTTGAACTGTGATCCTAAGATCTCAGCCTCCTGAGTAGCTAAGATTACAGGTGTGAGCCACCAGTGCCCAGCTCTCATTCATTTCTCATAGATCTTAATTTTGCTTTGGTAAGCTTATTAAGTAGGTGGTTAAAAAAAAACACACACAACAGAAATTTTTACCACTCATACTTGTTTTCCAAATGTACTGTAACTCACTATCTACAGGTATAACTTGACCAGGGAGAAGAGGTGATTCCCAAGAAAAACACCTGAGCATACTAACCAAGCCAGAAGAAATATAGATATGTACAAAAGGATCATGGTTTGTCCTTTAAAATAAGAAAGCAAGGGCCAGGCATGGCAGCCCAGGTCTTTAATCTCACCTATTTGGGTGGCAGAATCAGTTGGCTCCAGGGAGGCCTGGCAAGATGTCACTGAAACCCTCTCTCAAAAACAAGTCATGTTAGGTGCCTGTGGTTCACGCCTGTAATCCTAACCAGGAGGCTGAGATCTGAGAATCACAACTGAAAGTTATCCGAGGAAGGAAAGTCCATGAGACTCTTACACCTAAAAAGCTGGAAGTGGAGCTGTGGCTCAATGGTAGAGTACTAACTGAGTGGAAAAGCTAAGAGACAGTGCCCAAACCCCAAGTTCAAGCCCCAGGACAAACACTAAGTAAATAAACAAAAATGGATGAATGAATGAATGGATACACAAATAAATGAATTTTTGAAAAGTCGGATGTAATACCCATGCCTATAATCCTCACTATTCTGCATGGTCCCCAGCCTGTCCTTGACAAAAACAATAAGACATTAAAGCACAGACAGGCTCCTTTCCCTTTCCCCATCCTCTTCCAAAAAATATAGCCTGCCATTGTTTTCCTTGGTGATTATGATGCTTTTCTCCAGGGTGAATACTGAATGCCAGGCAAAAAAGATACAGGATTTTTTTAACCTCTCTCTATAGACAAGAAGAAGTTAAGATCTAAATTACTCTGTCAGAGAATTTTTAAACTTCAGCAAATTTAGCAGAGGTACAGAAATAGTGATCAAGATATTATATAATCTAGAAATAACCTATAATAACTTAGACGCAAAGAATCTTGTTATTCATCTTTTCCTTCCATGCGCCATATATTTCAAACCTACTTCTATTCATCACTCTAAGTTCTATTTAGTACCAATGTCAAAATCATTTAAGAAAAAAAAGTTTAAATAGTTGCAGAATTCTCAAGTCAAAGCACTTTCCAAACACGAACCCTTATACCACAGTAAAAATTTCAGAACTGGCCAGGCACTAGTGGCTCATGCTTGTAATCCTAATTACTCAGGAGGCTGAGATCTGAGGACCACAGTTCAAAGCCAGACCAGGCAGGGAAGTCCATGAGAATCTTATCTCCAATTAACCACCAAAAAAGCAAGAAGTGGCTCAAGTGGTAGAGCACTACCCTTGAGGAAAAAAAAAAGCTCAGGGACAGTACCCAGACCCTGAGTTCAAGCCCTAGGAACAGCACACATGCACGCGCGCGCACACACACACACACACACACACACACACACACACACACACACACACTCACATTTTCAGAACTGTTTACACCCAAGAATAATAATGATAACTTTTCTAGTGAGCAACAAAAATGCAGAGTTGGAATTCACTGCACCACAGAGAAAATTTCATATATTGAATGAAGAAAAATAAGATCTAAAAATACCACAGAATCTAACTATAAAACTATAAACATTCTTCATTCCATCTATTTTATTTCTATTTTTCTGCTATGAATAGAATCACAAGATAAATTTATTTCAGACTAAAATAACAGAACAGAGGAAGATATATCAAACAGCTACTAATTTCTTTTTTCTGCAAGTTCCAGCGTGCATTTGATTTTTTTTAAGGCATGAAAACCCAAAGGGAAACTAGTATTCATCTCACATAATTGAACATTCAACTTGCCAATTCAGACACTGTTTGCCAAGCCTGTGATTTTAACAGCAAAACAGAACAGCAGTTCATAATGCCCACATTTTAAAATGTTCTGTAAAGTGCTCTCTTATCTTTCATCACAAGTTTGTATAATTCTTTCATAGGTTATTTGTCCAGGGAATATGCTTCTAAATTATATCAAGATATTGAACTCAGGATTGTTAGTCAGTCTGCATGTCTTCCAAGCAAAAATTCCCAGGAAACAAAATATCTGCATAACAAGTCTCTAAGACCTCTATAAAACCAGGTTCAATTGATTTAAACTTTTTAAAAAGAGGATGAAAGCAAAGAGTAGAAATCACACACACACACACACACACACACACACACACACACACACCACATATCTATTGTTTCAGGAAAATAAAGTAAATGTGGATTCCTTACACAAGCACTTACACATTCAAAAAAAGTTTTTAAATATAAATATAAATGTGAATTATTTAGATTTGTGTCTGAGTGGGTAATATAGATGGATGTTTTGATACAGCTAATTCTGGCAGAAATAATGGTCAAATCTGCTTTGGATTCATAATCCCCATGTGTGTCAACAAAAACAAAAACAGAAGAATCTGGAATTTTAAAAATCCCCCAACTACTCATAAGTACTCAATAATACAAGGATTTAAAACTACTAAGTTGGAAGGGTGGGGAAGCAAATGTTTACATACAAGTTTTAAAATAGAAAAAAAACAGAATTGGATACCACATTGATTACTTAAAATTCATAAAATTCTAGTTTGCTTTCATCACTTATGCATGTTGGAATATCTAGGTTAAAAACAATGATTGTAAAGAAATCTAACAAACATGCAAGAAATAGTAACTGCCAGTTTATGAACTCTGTCCAATTTTAGACACAGAATTTAATATGCTTTAGTGCCTGAGAGTTGTTTCAAGAATTCTCTCTTAAGTTCTGTTTTTAAGCAGGTGCAGTGTGGCACACCTATAGTCCTAACTAATTGAGAGGCTGAATCAGAAAGATCACTT